TGAATGATTTAATGTATTATTTATGTAGTTGGTCATCTAAAATCGCAAGGTTTAAAAAGCATCTTATTTAAAAAGAAGGGATTCCATCATTAGCTTCCATAAATTCCATAATAAAATGATGTGTTTCTACATAAAAATAAAACCAAGTAACTGATAAAAGCTCTAGCCTCAATTTTTTCTAATGAATACATTTAATTGTTGTTTGACCATACAATATTTTCAAAAATACCCCTTTTAAAATGACCCCTTTAAAATTAACACATGTTAAACTATTTTGCTATTCTACGTGGACATGTCAAGCATAGATACCACAATATGAGAAGTGGCGATAGCATACATATCACCATTAATTTTGAAATATACCAAATACTCTTAAGAATTACAATATTATGGATGATTGATGATTGTTTTTCATTTACCTGACTGTTGCAGTTATAATAGAATAGAATAGAATATCTTTTATTGTCATTGCACAGATGTATAATGAAATTTAGTGTGTCCCCTGAATAGTTCATACAGTCTAATAAGAGACAGAATCTTCAAACAGATTCCACACAAACAAATGCTCTGCATGTTGATCTACACACACGCATAACAAAGCACAAACACAAGCAGTAACATAAACCAATAAAACATTGAATGCCTCTGTATGAATACATATATATAAGGTGGAAGTATATGAATATTAGATAGTGGATTAGTTCCATTTTACAGTAACTGCAGTGAGTCCCAGGGAAACTGCACCTTTGTCACACTGATGCCATGGGTGACAGTGAAATGTTTGTAAGAGATATGCTATGAGACAAATGTCCCACGGTGACTGTGCACTGAAATGCATGACTAAAAAAGGAGAATATGATGACCTTAGCATGACATTAATGATTAACGGGCAGTAGGAAGCCAGTCATTTAAGGAAGTGGGCGTGGCCAAAATGTTACTCCACTACCTTTACTGTGACACACTTTAGGAAGGAAATAAGAAAGGGAGACAAAATGGAAGGTTCTGGAAAATTATTTTGGTAAATAACATAATGATCGTGTAACTAAAAAAAAAAATCACAAAAAAGAGAATTAATACTACATAACTAACTCCCTAGAACATCCCAGGAGAACAACATACAAATGTGTTTTTAGTTTGCAAAACAAAAAAAAAAGTACACAAACATAAATTAGGCAGAATTTCCAGAATCGGGAGTTGCCGACACAGGCCAACAGCAACAGGAACATGAGCTTAATTTCCGTGATAAACTCAACTCGTAGCCCTTAGTCTTATGCCAGAAACTCACAAGTTCCAATTTAGCCACAATTTAATTTAGTTCCCAATGTAAAATGTGAACTATTTATGAGCAATTACTAAAACAAGTACCATTACTTTGGTGTGAGTACAATAATCATGATTCAATTTTGCTATCCAATTCCTCATGTATTAGGTTTGTATTTAGTGTTTATCTTTCACAGTTATAAGCCTGTGTGTTGAAATTTGGTTATCCTACTCTTGTAGTTCACCAAGGGTCCACACTGTGATCACCCCCAACACAGGCGGCGCTCATCGAGTAGAGAATGGAAAGTGAAGTCAAGGACTGTTGCTCTTGTTCCCATGCAATCTGAAAGAACAGTAGGAAAGACAGAGGAAGCCCTTCCGGGTTTGGAGGTTCCAGAAAGCCTGCAATCGGCAGTGAAAGCAGGTCACAGTGGGCCGCACCGCGGCAGCTGTGAACGTTCACACGAACCGCCCGAATAATTCCTCGATAGTTCGGCGGTTTATATGATGATTCGGTGATCTGATGCATATCGTGGGGTGTAATCTGACGAGAACTGGACAGAACAAAGGAGACCAGAGCAGCTGGCATATGGTCAGAAAGGAAAGATGCGCGAATGAGGGAATGGTCCAAAAAGAAGAAAAAAAAAGAGAGAAAGAAGCAGTGAGTCAGTGAGTTAGCAAGAGGGAGAAAACAATTAATAATAGGAGCTATTACGGGTGGATTGTCAACGCTAAGAGGGAGGTCGAGTTTCAGTCCCTTTTGAAGACTTTGATGGTACAAAACAGGCCTCATTACAGAGATATTATCTCCATTCATACACTTACAGGCCGCTTGGAACCCTGCTGGGAAAGATTAGGTTCCTTCTGCTTGTGAACATCCTCCTCTGCTGCCCCGATGCAGAGATTTCTCAGCTCATAGCACACCTTAGAGACACCTGGGGGGGGGCTTTTAAATTTGGGGAGAGTGCCATTGTTTCATTCCAGAGAGACCCCCAGCTTCAACCAAATTTACCATACGTAGATATTAAACCTGAATTACATGCTATATCGGAAGCTTTCTATATAAAAATAAAAATGTTTACTCCAGTAAGATCCCCTGAACAGTAACACTGTTTTTAAGAATATTTCTCTCTCAGTAATCAGTTGCCATGGATTAATCGCCCCCAAGTCAGCAGGAACAGGCGCTGAGAGATACCCAACCCGCTGTAGTGTTTTTCCACATGGCGTGCCTTCGCTCACTCAGTTGAATGCGCTACCACTGAATAATTGAGGAGCTCCCTGTAAGACGGCCCAGCAAATGGATGGCAGCTTGCAGTTGTCCTGCAGCTTACCCAGTCACTGCCTGGGCTTTACTTCCAGCATGCGGCGTGGCAGGCTCATGCAGACGGGGGTGTCGGTCCTGTTTGGGTGGCCTTCGGAGGTGATGGACCCCACACTTATTTAATTGTGTGTGATTGTAGCTATGGAATATTTCAGAGAAAGAGGAACCGGTGGGTGTAATGGGTGCCCCGGCTGGAGACAGGGACAGGGACAGAGACAGGGACTGGGTCAGGGACAGAGACAGAGATGGGGTCAGAGGCAGGGATGGGGACAGGGACAGGGACAGGGACAGAGACAGAGATGGGGACAGGGACAGAGACAGGGATGGGGTCAGAGGCAGGGATGGGGACAGGGACAGGGACAGAGACAGAGATGGGGACAGGGACAGAGACAGGGATGGGGTCAGAGGCAGGGATGGGGACAGGGACAGAGACAGGGATGGGGTCAGAGACAGGGATGGGGACAGGGACAGAGACAGGGATGGGGACAGGGTCAGGTATGGGGACAGGGATGGAGATGCCAACCATACGATAAAAGGATATACTCTGCAGATCATACAATAACCGAATTGCGGGGCTACCTGATTACTGCCTCTCTCAGTGAGCAAGAAAACTGCTGTCTGTGGCAACAAACTTTATATTTCATTCTGAATAAGGACCTTTTCCTCACAACAGTTTTATCTGTTACGCTGCAGTTTTAAAGACATTACAACTTTAACATCACCATGTTCTGTGTTGTACACTTGCATAAAATTGATGTTTCTATAGCACCAGTTAAAGAAATCAAGGATTTTTCTGTTTTCAGTATAACTGACAATTATAATACCACCTTATTACTATTGCATTATAACACCATTTTACCATTCGGTTGCACTTGTAAAGACACCTTATTAATACATCCCCTTTATGTCTTACGCAATGTTTCCGCAGATCCAGGTATGAATGGGGCAGAGGAGTGTTTGTGTTTTGCTCAGTTACCTTCACAATCACAAGTAAAGTAAGAACTTATTCACTAATCCCAGTAGATGGTGCATATCCATGACTGGGTTAAACATAATCATGAGCCACAATTTACAACTACGAAGCTTATTTTTTCTCTAGAAACGCATAAAGATAAAATCAAGGTTGCCATCGCACATTTATTGCGTAATATACGGACGGGCTTGACTGTTTGTGCAGAGAGCTGCTCTTCTGTCTGCCTGGACAGGGATGGTAGTGATTTAGTACAAACAGGTTTATGGAGAGGAGTGTCCAGACAGAAAAAAGCAGAGGAAATGCCCATTGATGGGGTATAAAAACACGGTCAGACAGCCACTTGAAGGCAGAGTGTATTAACTGTGCTTTGTAAATACATGAATTAAAAATGTAAGAGAGCATTCCACTTACTCAAGCGTATCCAGTGTCGCGTGACACAGGTGTCAGCACTCAGTACGGCCGGCCAAACTGCTTTCCTATTTGCTGTGTCAAAAAGCCTCTGACTTGCTGTTTAAGCCGACCCGTGTGAGCTGGACCTGCTGGATCGTGCTTTCCTGTTTTCTTAAACAGCAAACACTTTGTGAAGCACTGGAACTGATTAATGATGTATTCGGGCGACAATAAAGGAACAGCAGACTTCAGAAAATAATTGGGAGAGTCGCACGGGGCTGCAGCGTTTGAGAACGGCTCCATTCTTTATTTATTTAAAATAATTATGAATGATTCAGGCCCCGCCCATCTCTTTTCAAGTCTGCCGAGGCCCTGCCCTGCTCAGGATATAACACAAGGCCAGGCAAAGACACCTCAAAGACACTGGCGAGAGGACACAGACAACTTGTAAGTCACTTCATTTCCACACACAAGAATTTACGTGCATGTTGACTGTTTCTCCCTGTCTCTCCTTCTTTCTCTCTCTCTCTCTCTCTCTGTCGCTCTACTCTTGCTTACTCTCTCTCCGTCTCTCTCGCTCTCTCTCTCACTTCTCTCCACCACTCTGTGTCTAGCCTGCACTCACACACACTCAAACACGCACGCATGCACCACACACAGACACACAGCCACACATACACACACACACACACCTCCATCCGTAGATACACAATCACCTGCTCACTCACTTTTCATTCAACTTTCATTCAGACAGCGAGACAGACACCCGGTCCAGGCTCAGCACAGCTGAGGAGCGAGTCCCACAAGGTGGACATCAGAGAGGAGACATTTCGGCAGCCGGAGGGGGCATTGACGTGGTCACCGGCCGGACATTTAGGACGACTGAGACATTGGTACTGCATTGGAATTACAAAAACCAATCATCCCCAAGAAGAAATAAAGCAATAAAATAAAAAAAATAAATAACCTTTTTCCAAAGAACTAAACTGGTTCATCTCAACTTTTGGCAAAACTTGCAGCAAGACTTGAAGCAGAAGTTAAAAGTTTTCTCCTCTACTCCACGGTGGACAAGTTCTGCTCACTCCTCACCGTTCGCAGCTCATCCCACAGATCTCTACATCAGAATCACCCAGATCAGCAGCATGTCCTCTGCGTGTGCAAAGTGCATCGTGGGAGCCTGACGCATCATGTGCAAATGGACGCCCCCCGTTCTCCGTCTCCGTCCTGACTTGGTCCTGGACGCCGTCCCCTCCGCTGGACGCTTTCTTCCTGGGGCCACCTCCTTCTGCGTGGCATGCTTCACATTGCTCCTGGTGGCCGGGACCGTCCTGGGAGAGTGTCCCCTGGGGGGTCAAGGGGGACCGGGTCATGAGACTCTGCCGGGGCTGGCAGGGGGTACGAACTGCTCCTGGACACTAGAGCGTCACACCCGCAGCTACAACCACCTGGAGGGTGATGTGCGGCTGCGAAGACTCTATTCCGCCAACAAGTTCTTCCTGTGCATCGACAAGACGGGCAAGGTGGATGGGACCCGACGCAAAAACTACGCCGACAGTAAGTTGCCGGGACTGCCGATCCTGGCATGGCTGGTGGGATGGGGGGGGGGGGGGGGGGGGGGGGGGGGGGGGCGGTTGATTAGACGGGCAGGGTTTAAAGATGTTCCCTCTTATCTGGACCTTGGCGTTTTATTGGCGTTGACTGTGCCAACCCATCGCACGTTCTGCCGGCATGCTCCACGAGGAAACCGTCAGTGACGGGCAAGTGGAGGGGCACCCAGTGTGTGTCAGAACACCCCATGGGGGAGTGAAGCACTGCTTCTAACCACAGGGCTGAGCAAAGACATCCCCCCCCAGTTGGGGCAAAAGGCTTCGGTTTCACGGGGGATTAACTCGTCAAGACCGAACTGAATGTCTTCCATTTGTCACAAGTCATGTAGCATCCGCTTATTTCAGTTCATATTTCATATTTCTTCTGTTTAAAATACCGATGCTTATGACTCTATTTTATGCTGTCCTGGAGAACTTTCCAGTTTGGGAAATTTACTTATGAAAATCTAACTGAAAGTCCCGAACTAGGTTTAAAAATCAGACTGTGCAAACTCATTTATCGTCTGCAGCCTGAGACTTTCCGAGTTTGCAGATGCCCGTGCTGATAAATCAGCCCAGAAATGCCTTCGCTAATATGACCGCACGTCTACCTGAGGGCAATGTCCTTACCATCTGGTGCCGTTCTTCACCCTGCACCGCACTAGAAATATTAAACTGGGAAAATCCTCAGTTTAGGGTCTGGCACATACTTTTGGTTTAAATGTTACCTGGCTGTTCCTACCACTCTTGGATGACTGCTGCACTGCACAGAGATACGCCGGCGCTCGTTACTTGGTTATTATTTTTCATTTGCGGCATGGTGTGTGTCTTTTGGCTGGGTAGCCACTCGCTGTCATTTCAATGACAGGATCCTCTCAGCCGGGTGACGTGCGCGGATTCGGCCGGCGTTACGGAGCAAACTCTGACCCCTGAGTCACGGTTCTTCAGCAGGATGCTGTCAGCGGTGTCATCGTTCCTATTTCCAGACAAAGGACATGACGCTGTTGACAACTTGAGTGGAAAAAAAAAAAAAAAAACTTAAAGCATACACGGGGTAATCTTATCCTAAACGAACTAGAGCGAATGAATTTGGGAATCAGGTGGGACTCTAACGTGTTTTTTCTGGGCGGGACGGTGCTGTAATGTGCTAAACTTTGGCAATTTAGACAGTTTAGTGTCTCAGACTGTTGTGGCCACACACGTGTACATGCAGTGTAGCCGCTAGCCCTTTGTTTACTGCAGTGGAAATATAGACATCATGCGCAGTGTCGCAAAAGTTGCCCATCAGGCTTATAAGGCACGCATGCATGCGGGGCTCGGGGCCGAGCTCTTTGGTCGCAATGGTTTACCCCCCTTTGTGTTCGTGTGTTAAATTTTGTGTCCAATTTGAGATCTATCCAATTGCAAAGTTAATTGCAATGTATTTTCTTTAGAGTTGCCCTCTTTCATTAATATTGATACTGCCATTGCATAATAGATTTGACAGCAAGGTTAACAAGTGGTAAATTTTTAATGCTGAGTCACTAACAGATAGACAGCAGTGCCAGGGCACAGGAGGCCTGAAGGAGTAACGCACTGGCATTTTATCATCCTTTTTCGTTCAGCGTACGGCGCGGCTGGTCGGTGAAATGCGTCGCTGCGCGATGCCGTGACGATTTCGCGTTTGGGGGTCGCCCGAGACCCGGGTCGGCACACGCATGAGCTGGCGTGCGAGCGGGTGCGTGTGGGAATGACAGTCCTCGCTTACTCCTTCCTTCTCACGCACACTCAAATACACGCACACTCACACACCCCATGCACGCTCACTCACACTAACTCACACTCACACACCCTCACATACCCCCAAGCTGGACATTTGGCTGCTTTGGCCTGGTAGCTTAAGTCTACCCCTCCTGTGCTGCTCCTGCCCCCCTCCAGTTCCTCCCCCTCCTCTTGCCCCTGCTTTTGCCCCTAACCCTTCTTCTTGTCCCTGCCGCTGCACCCTGCCCCCTGCCCTAACCCCGCCCGCTTTTTCCAGCCTGCACTTCCAACCCCTTCAGGTGTAAAAACAGTAAAAATTAGTCAACGGGCCCCTGCTAATTGACTGGAAAATATTGTATCAATCCCAGTGGGCCGATGTCTGGAGGCGCTGAGGGAGAGAGCCAGCGCACGGCGGGGCCCAAGGCCGGGACGAGGGGGAGGGGGCAACGGGGAAGGTGAGCTCAGTGCAATGGACATGGAGACGGTAACCCAAATATACAGTAAAACAGGCTTTCTCAAATTTCCTAAAGGGCGGCGTGCAGAATCAGTGGCCATGTTGGATAGCACAGAGGAAATTAAAAGCTGTCAGTGTCACAGAGCTAATCGATGATAGCGGAGCGGCAGCACTGATTTCGCCCCTGAAATCGTACCACGGAAGGACGTTAGGCTTTGTCTGGCACAGCACCTCTCCCACAGTTCGTTACCACACTCCGTTGCTAGGTCGATCAGAAGCTGCAGGTCATGCATAGTTGATGATGGGTGTGTGTGTGCGTGTGTGTGTGTGTGTGTGTGCGCTTTGTGACACGACACTCTTACTTGGCGTGAAATAATGCTGTGTGATCTTTTAGTCTTGTCTGGTTCATTATTTCATGCGTAACACTGAATTGTTAAAATGTAATGTTTTTGGGACAGTTCTGGCAGAAGCAGGTGAATGGAAAATGAGTTTTTTTACTCTTAAGTTTTAAATAAATGTAAAACCTGAAATGCATCATAAAATGAGACATGTATCCTTTATTTAGTGAATCATTTTATCCAATCGACATAGTCGGGTTCGAAAAGTCCCTGGAGCAATTGGGGGTTAGGGGCCTCACTCAGGGGCCCGATAGTAAAATCATCCTGCAAACCTGAGGATTTGAACCGGCGACCTTCCGATCAGGAGAGCAGAGTCCTAACCTGCAAATTCACGCACCACCCCTGCGACATCATATCCTGTCCGGGGTCGCAGGTCGTGCCCCTTTAATTACACGCTGTCTTCAGGCCCACCACCCTGGGAGGGGTCACGCCACCCTATTACTGGGTAATGAAACAGCCACTGGGAAAATTGCGACATAACGTTTCGTGCTCCCCCCCCCCCCCCTTGGCCAGACTGAGTCCGACTCAAAATCCATCTATGATGATTACACTCGGAAAAGGTTGTTTTCCTTCTGATTTTTCCTGGGGTGTCGTGAAATATTACAGGCAGAGCTGTCCAGTGCATGAGCCTCTCACTTTGAAAAGGACACACTGTTGAATTTATGGGTGTGTGTGTGTGGCTCCGCACATCAAAAGCCTGACTGGCACCCAGGCACTGACACGACATGCAACCTGCGGAAATAAGGTCATACGACCAGTACGATCGGAGAAGTCATTTGCATTAAAATATCACCCCCCTCCCGGGTGCCAGAACACTTTTTCCCCCTGCTTAATTTGTTCAGTATTTATGGGCGCTTGTGTCATGTTTACCGAGTTTTTCTGCGCTTGCCTGCGCTGGATGTATGAGTTTTGTTCGGTGATTTCATATGCTTGTTTAGCTTGGATGACACCCATGGGAAGAAAATGGTCCACGGCTTTGGAATATGCAAGGAAAATAAAACAGTTGTATATTTATTTATTGAAAAGGGCAACCGTCTCTGGAAAATCAGCAGGGAAGGTCAGCACACAGAGTAAACAGATAGCTCAGCAGCCACCTTTCGCATGCTTCTCACAGGTGCACTACTGCTCAAACATTTTTAAAGCAGTAAGGTTGATAGTTGCAGTCACCATAGAAAACGGGCCTCGTGGCTGTGATCGTTATGGTTGACGATCACCGCTCAGTCGGTCCACAGTCCCTAAGTCTCTCCATTTTTTGTTCTGAGGGATGCAGGTGTAAATCTGTACTCCAAGTTTCTAGGAACATAAATAACTTTGGCTGATTCGCAAACGTCAGCTGTCTACAGTACTGCGCAAAAGTCTGACGCAGTCAAAGAAAATGTTTAAACCTTTTTTTCTAGGTTGTAAGTATGTATTTGCATAGAAAAAAAAATACGTGATATTATAATATATGCAGATTAACAGTAACCCAATAAAAATTTACTTTCTTCTGTTCTCCAAAACGTTACTGACATCTTGTTTGATGGCTAGATGAACAGCGCTTCAGTTCCCAAACCTCTCCTCAGGGGCACCTCAGCCATTCCATGGATTTATTAAGGTTCACCACCAGCTCAATTGATTGATTGACTGATTGATTAATTAATGAAATAACTCAGTGAGGTATTGATTAGCTAAACATGGCATGCTATGTTGAGTGTACTGGGTAGTAAGTGCAAATACTGGGGTGACTTTAGGCGAAGTTTTGAAATGGCTAAGGTGACACATTTTGACAGGCGTAATATCACAGTTTTACACTAATATGAAGACCATTTAAACATCATTTATTTTAACTGCCTAAGACTTTTGCACAGTACTGTAGATGCTGCAATTAAATCTCGTAGCCCTAAGGGCTATAAGGATCTTAAACCTCTAACGTTGATGTAGAATGACTCGCAGTTACAACCGTTTGGATCGAAGAGCTAATGGCAGCAGCATGGAGCGAAAGATGAAGAAAATGATTGGCTGAAGGATAGACAGGTAGGAGGTACACTGATGCTTAGCCACACGGCTTGGGCCTGGAACGGCATGAGAGCAGGAGACCTGGACTGTTTCCTGCAGCTCATTAAGACTTATGTAAGGTTTGGTAATAGAAGCCCCAAGCAAAGGAGTCTTCGTCAGGCGATCGGTGCCAACGGGGGGAGGAAATCCCACGAATGCTGCCTTTTAAATCCTTCCGAACAGGGGGACACAGCTCCGGACCTAATGGAAAACAATGAAAATTGATCCCTTGCCAGCTGTTCCCTGGCATTGAGCTCTAGAAAAAAAAAAACGCACACACACACACACCCTGGGAATTCTGGGATTCGGCAGGGCAGGGGAAGTGTGCCAGCAAGGTTCTAA